ATCTTGCATATGTCATACTTTGTTGACTATGTGTTATTGAAACATGCACAATAATGATAAATGATATGTACAATAGTACTATGCATTGGATGAAGCCATAGCTAAAGAAGTTCTCCACTATCTCAGTAGGCACAGATTAGAGGTGGTCAGGTTATGTGCTAATTATTGGTGGAGTAGAGGTGGAGATCACTCTAGAGGTATGCATTGGATGAGCTGGAATCAGGTTGCTCTACCTAAGGATCAAGGTGGTCTTTAGATCCAATATATCGGGCTCTTCAATAAGGCCATGATTATGAAGCAGTTGTGGAAGATTGCCACCAAGCCTGATCTTTTGGTATGCAGAATGTTGAAATCCATATATTTTCCTAACAGTGATTTCTGTGATGCTCAAAAGGAAAGCTGGTGGTTCTTGGCTCTGGAACTCTTGGATGGAGGTCAAGCCCAAATTTGATAAATTAATTCAAGATCAGATTAACAGTGGCAGGAGCACATCTATCCTAGGCTATCCTTGGGTCCATACTTTGGGGTTGCAGAGAATCAGTTTCAAAACAGGGGTTCATACTTCATGCACACGAGTCAAAGACTTACTGCATAGTGATGGACAAAGCTGGAACACTAAGCTTTTATATCAATTGTTTGACATAGAAGTGGCAGAGGCAATATTGAACATCAATAACCTGCAGACTCACTTGGAGGATGGTTGGATGTGGTTTGGATATTAAAATAAAAAAGCTCCTTTTTCGATTGGTGGTGGTCCATGTGTTCTTTGAGCTCGAAGGAGATTGATGAAAGCAGGATTCAGCTATTGACTTACTTGCTATGGTGGTTGTGAAAATCCTTGCTGACTCACTTGGAGGATGGTTGGCTGTGGTTTGGATTTTTTCTGATTGGTGGTGGTCCATGTGTTCTTTGAGCTCGAAGGAGATTGATGAAAGCAGGATTCAGCTACCGACTTACTTGCTATGGTGGTTCTGGAAATCTCGGAACCTTTGGGTGTTTCTGGAGCAAAGGCTTCCTGAGTTATGTCTTGTTAGACAAGTTATCAGGGAATGACAAGAGTTTAGTGATATTTAGCATATTTGTGTAGGCCCTGGTTGAGATGATCTAGGTCTTAGGTCGACAGTTTTTCATCTCTACTTTAGTCTTGTATAGGTTTGATTAGCATAGGACTTCAGCTTTGTGTTGTCTTTGCCATCACTGGCTTTTAGATCTCACTTGTGTGGTCTTCTATTTCATGCGTTGAGTTTCGGTTGGCGTATTCGAACTTTGTTTCCATTTATCCAGTTATGAGTATCCTATTGTTTCGTTAAAAAAAAAAGGATATATACAATAGTATGTACTATTGTGAATTTGCACATAATGTAATCGCCGAAATGTTTAAAAAGTAAACAAATTTACCAAAATGTCACCTTGCTTTTTATTTAAAGTTTTTCTAATTGAACAAATTTGAAGCGTTAATTTAATAATATCAAACGGTTATGGTTTATTCTTACTTTATTGACTATCTGTCATTCTCATATGATCCTCTGCTAATATAGATATTCTATTTTCCACAGTTTTTCAGCTTTCTATATACAAAAATTACAAAATGTTATATTTTTTTCCCTTTTTGTATTTATGTACATATATTTGACCATATTATTTTTTTAATTTTTTATTATCATTTTTTTTTTACGAAACGCGCGATAGTGAGATTGTTATTACTATAATATGGCCATATTTGGCCATATTAGTTAAATATTTATATTTTCTTTTTCATTCTTTTCTATTTTTCTATCTTTTTTTAGTTATATATACTCACTAGTACAACACCCGTGTATTACACGGGTGCTTGTTAAAAATTTATTCTTAAATTTTAAAATTTATGAGAAAACTATATTAAATTTAGTTTACTTTTTTACAAAAAAATATATTACTATATATTTTAGAATGATATGTGTTACTTATGACGTACATGTGTTATATTATATTAGTTTTTATAACTTATATCATATAACTACTTGAAATATAAATATATTAGTTGATAAATAATTTTATTTTTCTAATTAATATTAAAAATATTTATATTATTGTTATAAAGATAAATATAAATTATTTTTTTATACATATGGATGTTAAATCGAAACTCATCAAAAGAAGATTAATTTGATATATTACATATATAAAACTGATAAAAAATATAAAAGTTATTAACTTTTAAAATACATATACAATTCAATAGTTATAATAAGGAATGATATTAAAATGCAATTAATGCATGTAACATGAACATAAATAATCAACATATTTATGGTAACCCGAACCTAATTATTTTTGGTTTGGAATTAAATTAAGATTTATCCAAGCTAATAACGAAACATGTAATTTTGTCACATAGGATTTCGAAGCACCAGAAGCAGCCACGTAGGCACAGCGAGTTCAGGATTAATATATAGGGGGATACCATTTTTCTTGTTTTTTATTGAATATTAAGATTTTTTTTTTATTTTTGAAAGAATATTTTATAATATTATTATTTGTCGAACACAATTTTGTAAATAATGCATCAAATTAAACTTATCTCAATATATTTTTATTTTGCACCAATATTTCATAGAAAAAAATGATCTAATTCAACATCCTCCCTATATATTATTTCCGAATGTGCTGAACCTACGTGGCGATTTCTGGTGCTTCGGAATCCTACTTGGCTAAGAATCATGTTTCGTAATTAGGTTTGGACAAATAATATTGATATATTAATAATTAATAATTTAGGTTTGGACATTCCATAAATATTATTTAGCTAACTTAGGTATTTTATTATCACTTGTACTAATATAACTCTTTTATCTCTTTGTAATTTTACATAGTAAGGCACTAAGTGACTAATATATCCCTGACTTTTGATTTGTTTCCTTCAATTAGCTATTGAATTTTAAATGAATTTTAAAAGTTGATAACTTTTGTATTTCTTATCGGTTTTACATATATAATATACAATTAATCATCTTTTGATGATCTTCAATTTGACATCCATATTGTATATATGAAATAAATAAATTATATTTTATCTTTATAATAATAGTAATAATAATAATAAATAATAATATTTATTAAAATTTATTAGAAAAATAAAATTATTTGTCAATCGATATATTTATGTTTAATGTAGTTATATGTTGTAAGTTAAAAAGATTATTATATTTGTACCAAAAAAAAAAAGATTATTATAATATAATACAGGTAAGTTGCACAAATAAAAAGTGTCATACTAAATATATAATAATATATATATTTTTATAAAAGGTATTTAAATTTTCAACTATTTTTCTCATTAATTTTAGATTTTAAGAAAAAAATTAACAAGCACCCGTGTAATACACGGGCGTTGTACTAGTAAATAAACTAATTCTCATAATATAAAGATAATAAATCTTATAAGATGAATTTTATATATATAATGTGAAAAGTTTTATGATAAACTAACGAAGTAATTTATTTCTCTATTTTGCCATATGCTTGAAATATTTATGTTAACATATTATAAAAGTAACTATATACAACCATTCAACCATCAAATAATAAACAATATCTTAATGACTTACATTACAAACATTTGGATCTAAACTTAAAAATGTAAGCTAATCAAGAAAATTATACTACGGTCCAGTTACGGAACCATTTCGTCGAGGTTTGTATCCGCCGCGGATAATTGATTTAACGGTTACAAATTCCGACAGAATGGTTCCGTAACGAGACCGTAACATTCTCTCTAATTAATTAGTAAACCACATGAATCTAACAAATTTACTGACTAGCTGTAAGGTCTTAGACGGTGCGCAGGCGTGCTTTCTTACAGGGGCAAAATTCAACAGTTTATCATTCTCTCACCCCTACACACCATACCCTACCTACCCTACTACTGCTTCACATCATCTCTATATATATATATATACTCACAATCCACAATCAATAAAAACAATGCTACATCACACTTCACATTTTTTTTTAATTTTTTTTTTTTTATTTTTTCAAAAAGCCTGCTAATTAGAAAGCCTCAAATTCTAAAAATAGCAGCATTTGATTTTCATTCTACATTGCTATCTTCCGTATAGAATTTCAAGATTCCTCTTCTTTTTCAAACCATTCTTGTCCAGCCCAGGTAAAAAAATAAAATAAATTAAAATCTTGATTTAAATCATAGTTATGTTCAGGAAAAAAAAAATAATTAATAATAAAAAAATAAATAATCCACAGTATTTAATAGTTTATTTTTGTATGAAAATATTTGTGTAGTTTCATTTTGTTTAGCTGTTTTTCTTTAGTACTCTGTTTTACCAATAATTTTTTATTT